ACTGAATGGAACTGCTGGATTACATGTAATCCTGTTTATTTTTGGGGGAGGAATTCTCATACTTTTTTCCATGGCAGCTACACCATTTTACATTTCCAACAATGTACAAGAGTTCTTTAGTAGTATTTATTTTTGAGGCAGATTGGAATCGAAGGATTTCAGGGGTGATGGTGGGCTCTCCTTCGGGCCTGAGGATTTTGGAATAAGTAGATTGTTCCCCAAGGCTAGACTTGATGTGCCCCTTCCTCCCCAGTGGTTCCGTAGCCCCGCGTGGACCCTTGAGGCAAAGGCTGGAGATCATCTGTTTTCACACAAGGGCTCTTCCCACACTGTGGCAGACCATGCTTGGAACTGGGAACTTCCCAGGAGTTCAGCTGCACAGCCACAGGGATTTCTTCAGTGTTTCCTGGAGGGGGCTGGAACTGAGGCTGCAAGAGCTGCTAGGTTCAGTGATTTCCTGGTATTAGAATCCAGGGTCTGTTTACTGCTGCTGAGATTTCCCACTTCTGGAACCCGGGAATAGAGGAGAAATATGGGACTGGCCTTCCTCATTAAGGCTGTGGCTGTCCTTATAAAAGTCCATACCCCTCGGCTCTTCTGAGAAGCCGCTCTCCCTGCTGCCTTTCACCTTGCCTGTCCATACCCCATGCCACCCTGTAGGCACAGCTTGAGTCATCTGACTGTCCCTGAGAAGGCTTCTTCACCTCAAAGCCTTGGGAGGTGGTCCATGTTTTGTTGTTCTTCGCTCCCTGACTCTTATTTCGTGTACCCCGTGGAGGGGCTCTGCCCTCTTCCCAGCTAGGTCTGTGCTGCCACCGGCCTCCTGAACCACATCCCCCACTGACTGGACAGCTTCCTGGACATCCCAGCTCTTGCGACCTTCCAGGGTGACTTAAGTGGCCACCAGGCTTCATAGTTCCATGAGTTCTTCTCAAGTGACTTTATCTACGTTAGCCACCCTCCACCTGGTGCCTGTGTTCTTCCAGAACTGCTTTCCCTCTGAAACATTCAATTCACGCAGCTCCCTCTGTGACCATGAGCTCCTGTCTTCACTATACTCTGATACCTCCTAATACACCTGTCCTTCAATCTCATCGGGCTCCCCATCCCAGGAACCCTCTGTTCTCTTCGTATCATGTGCAGAGCCCCCTTCTATACACATGCCCCTCCCTGTCCAGCTTGGAGTGCAGCCATAGTCAGTCATTTCAGTTTCTTGCCTTTTCCCCAACAACTTTGTTCCTTTGTCCTTTGGCTGCATCTGCCTGGCACAGGGGCACCTCCCAGTGCACCAGCCACTCACCATCTCTACCCGCGCCCAGGCTACTGAGTGCTGCCAGGCAGGCCACAGACAGGCAGGGTGGGACTACTGCAAATTGTGCCCACCAGCCTCAAGTGGGCCCTCGCAGTCCTTTTATGTGGGGTCAGCCTACACTCATCACAAGGGCTCTACTTTTCCTTTAAAAAAAATTTTTTTTAATGTTTATTTCTTTTTGAGAGAGAGCATGAGCAGGGGAGGAGCAGAGAGAGAGAGAGAGAGAGAGAGAGAGAGAGAGAGAGAGACAGAATTCAAAGCAGGCTCTGAGCTGTCAGCACAGAGCCCGACGTGGGGCCCGAACCCACGGACCGCGAGATCATGACCTGAACCGAAGTCAGACACTCAACCAACTTAGCCACCCAGGTGCTCCGCTGCTTTTCCTTTTAAAAGATTACACAACAATTCAAATAATTTCGAAATATTGCAAATCATAGTCTTCTTGGCCCCTCTGCCCAACAGCTGACTTCACCTTGTGCTTCCCAGAGAACTCGAAGTCACATAGAAGGGCTAAGACTTCCCCCTACCAAACCTGCCAGCTGTCTATCCTGACCCAGTGAGGAGATGTGCCTGTCTCCCTGCCTTCCCAGAAACCACACACCATCCACCCATGCCCTCCCTCAGCCACAGGGCTTCTCCAGCTGTTGTCCAGGACCCCCTGCATCAAGGTCACCTGAGATGCCGGCTACATTGAGCTTCTGTGGCCAAACCTACTCCATTATCTCTGGGGCGGGTACTAGAAATGTGATCTGTATCTCCCCATCCTGACAAAAAATAAACTCCCCTGTTCCACAGGTCCCTCCTTCTCACCCCTTCTTTCCTCTCGCCACTCTAGCCAAAGGTCTAAAGATTGCCATCTGTATTTGGTTCTGTTTTTTTCTCTTCCCACTGACCATTCACTCTGGTCAGACCACCCTATTCTTAGTGACATTCTGTCACTTCAGCGGACAGATCTCAGGCCTCATCTGAACTTTACTCCCTGGAACACTGGTTAGAGATGAATCTTCACTTCTCTCGGAAATACACCTTAACCTTTTACCGTGAACATTTTCAAGTGTTCAACAAAGAATAGTAGAATGAACACCCAGCACTATCAGTTAGGCTTAAAAATTGTTACGTTACAATATTTGCTTCAGCAATTTGGAAGTTAAATATTTTATGGGCACCTGAGTAGCTTAGCAGTTAAGCGTCCAACTCTTGGTTTCGGCCCAGGTCATGGTCTCATGGTTGGTAGGTTCAAGCCCCCCATTCAGCTCCATGGTGGCAGGGTGGAGCTTGCTTGGATTCTGTCTCCCTCCCTCTCTCCGCCTCTCCCATGCTTGTGCTGTCTCTCTCTCTCTCTCTCTCTCTCTCTCTCTCAAAATAAATAAACTTTTTTTTTTAAGTTCAAATATACATAAACGTAGTAAAAGTAATTTAGTGGATCTTCATGTACTCATCACCTAGCTTCAATAAGTATCAGCAATTTGCTATTTTCTCTTCACCCCTTTTTAATATTCATTTTTTTGAGAGACAGACAGACAGTGTGAGCAAGGAAGGGGTAGAGATAGACGGAGACACAGAATCTGAAATAGGCTCCAGGCTCTGAGCTGTGAGCACAGAACCCGACACGGGGCTCAAACTCATGAACTGTGAGATCATGACCTGAGCTGAAGTCAGACACTTAATTGACTAAACCCCCCAGGCATGCGTAGGCACATCTTTTCAATCAAATACTTTTTCTGCTATATTTTAAAATAAATTACAGACATAACTTCAATGTGCATTACTTTAAAAAAAATGACAATTTTTTTCCTGCGAAAATGCACTTTTCTATGAAACTGCAATACTATTTCACACCTAACAAAGTTAACATTTAAAATCATCTAACAACCAGTCCCTGCTCAGACTTACCCAATTGTCTTCAAAGTGTCTTCTTATGTTTTTTTTATTAAAAAAATTTTTTTTAATGTTTTTATTTTATTTTTGAGAGAGACAGAGACAGAATGTGAGTAGGGGAGGAGCAGAGAGAGAGGGAGACACAGAATCCAAAGCAGGCTCCAGGCTCCTAGCTATCAGCACAGAGCCCAACATGGGGCTCAAACTCACAAACTGCGAGATCATGACCTGAGCCGAAATTGGATGCTCAACTGAGCCACCCACGTGCCCCCAAAGTGTCTTTTTATAATCAGTTCAAATCAAGGCCTAAACTAGAATTACTCATTTGCTTACCTGTCTTAATTAAGTCTTTCATAAACTTGACTATTGTTATCCCCACTCCCACCCTTACCTTTTGTTTTTCATTGACTTGTTTCATTTCATTGACTTGTTTTCATTGACTTTGTTTGACATTGACTTGTTTAATAGACCATTGGTTTTATCTGGATTTGTCCCATTACTTCTTTGTGGTGCCTTTGAACTTGAACTGTATAATCTACCGTAGTCTGAATTTCCTGAAACTGTGTTGTAGATCTAGAGGCTTGAATAGATTCAGGTTGAACATTTTGCACAGAAACATTTCATGGGTGATGCTGTGGTGTTTATGCTGCGTGAAATCTGGAGGCATCATTACATCGGATTGCCCACTCTGAGGGAAGTTGATTGACCAGTGGGTTCAGCTGCTGATGGCCACCCCCTCCCTTGCAAAGTCATACATAATCCGCTTGCAGGCTGGTCCCCCCAGGAATGGTGCCATATTGGGATCAGATATTAGTCTCTGCTATTGGCAGAGAGGTTAGCCACTCAACAGTAGTGTTAGGCCAGGTCAGCCTTGGATAGGGAGGTTCCCAAGACATCTACCCCAAGTGAGGTTATCATAGGGTTTTCAAGCAGCCAAAGGCTAGTCTCCTTGGACACAGGAAGGCAACCTACTTCCATTGTTTGCAGGTTTCAGGATCCAATTCTTTTCCTCATAAGAGCCATTAATTCTCACACGAGAAATGGTATGTTGATGATTTAACAACCCACACAATTAAATTTTGTGTTTGATTTTTAGCAGTGAGAGGCTGTGTGGCCACAAGAAAGAAGAGATTCTGTTAGGGCTGTAATGGAAGCTTTCTGCTTCTCAGACCATGACTTGAGCTGAAAGTTAATGAGCGCAAACTTGTCGTTTTCTCTTTGTAAATGTCCAAGTGCACTCAAAATAATCTGTCCCAATCCCCAGCCCTTACAATCACCATTACTGCCATACATTCAGGCCCAGAAGTCACCCCAAGGTGCATGTTTGACTTGGCATTTCACCACAGTAAACCGCAGGCTTGATTAATTGTGGTGCCACTTCATGCAGTAGGTGACTAGCATTTGTTTCCCTTTGCCGGGGAGCTCAGCACTGCCCTCGAGCCCAAGCACACAACCAAACCAATCCCCAAATCGCATCTTTAGGAGTCTGTCTTCTGCCACCACTCCCTGCACCAGGTTTATAGCAGTTTGGGTCCAGTTGGGAGACTTAAACTGAGAGAGTTTAATAAACATGAAGAATTATTGAACTGATAAAAGAGTAAGTATAAGGTAAAAGAAAGTTTTGTGTGAATCACCCAGGGCTGAGGGAGAGTACCCAAAGAATGACAAACTTGGAAGGGAATCCCCTCCCCAGGCTGGAATTCAGATCTTGCTGGAGAAAATAAAAATTGCAGCTCACTGGAGAGTAAAGTTCACTGGTTTGCCCGGACCAAAGCTGGTCCCGGTTGCTGGGCAAGCAAGAAGCAGCCCTCTGGAGTTCAGAAGGTAGGGGGACACAGGCGAGCTGCGGCTGGTGGCCAAGGGGGTGGGCATGGAATGGAATGGTGGTAATGGTGCAGAGAGGCTGCCGGGAGCACATGGTGTCTGTAAGCTGAGCCACAAGCAGTGGTTGGGTGCACAGGTGTGCGGAGGGGGTCAGTGGAAACCCAAGGGCACAGGCAGGGTAGCAAGTGGACAGGCAGGCATCTTGGCAGCAGAGGAAGTAGAGCCTGGTATGGGCAGGAGTCTAGGAGTGTGGTGTCTGGACCAGGGAGCCACGGGAAGGTGATTCCGGGTGAACTCCAACTGGAAGCAGTCAGGAGAGCCCGTTCCGCATCCCTCCAAGCGCCCTCTACTGAGAAAGGTTAAGATCACACTGTGGAGGAGAAATGCATAAAGACACGCTGTCTGTTCTCACAGAACAGTGTCGGAGGGTGATTTTGGAGCTAAGTGGCAATAAATTGATAACTGGCGTGGTAGGTCTGTGTGAACATCTATTTTCCCATCAGATTTTCATGGAATGATTTTAGTAACAAAATGTCAAAAAATGCACATGGGTTATCAAAAATTCAAATAATGCAAAAGTCTAAAAGTTGGCAGTCCCCCAACATCCCTCCTTCATTCACCATCCTCCCCACAGGTACCCACTATCTCTGGCTGAATTCAGCTCCATGTCTCTGAGCATTTTTCCATGTGTTTACACACCTACATGTAATTATATGTAAATACGCTTGTCAAAGGTATGTGCTCAGTTTTTGTATAAAATAAATGGGTTAACATGGTTCCTACTGAGCTGCACCTTTTGTTGGTATTTAACAGGACATCTAGAAATCATTCATGTCAGTACACAGACTCAGCTTATTAATGGCCACATAATATTCCCCAGAATGGGCATCCCATAGTTTATTTAACCTGCACTGTACTGAAGGGGGTTTTTCTAGGATTTGGGGGAGAACTAAAAGGTCACTTGACTCTTACATATTTTTTATATACATAATTTTTTTTAAGTTTATTTATTATTTTTTTTTTTTGAGAGAGAGAGAGAGAGTGTGAGCTGAAGAGGGGCAGAGAGAGAGGGAGACACAGAATCCAAAACAGGCTCCAGGCTCTGAGCTGTCAGCACAGAGCCCGACGCGAGGCTTGAACCCACGGACCGTGAGATCATGACCTGAGTTGAAGTCGGACGCTTAACTGACTGAGCCACCCAATATACAGAATTTTAATTTTTATGTAATAAAATCTATCATTTTTTCCCTTGATAATTTCTAGGTTTTCTGTCTTGCTCTGAAAGACTTTGCCATAGTTCACATTATAAAAATATTAGCTCATATTTTCTCAAGGTTTTTGTGTTTAGTTTTTAAATATTTTCACATAAAATAGTATGATTATAGCTCTTGACCATTTTTATTTTCTTTTGGTTTTATGTTCATTTTTGAAAATGACTCAGAGCCTTTTGTATTTTTAAGAAAAGTACCTCTTTTCCACATGTGTCACAGACATTTTCGAAAATCCCTTATCGTTGTTTGTCTTCGTAGTTTGTCTTCAGTGGATTTTTTAAATCTATGAAAGTTTTTTAATGTTAATCATTTTAATAACCATTCAAGTGATTTAAAAACTCAAAGTCCCTTTCCCATCCCTGTCCCTATTCAACTGGATTCCACCCCGTCACCTACCAGTAACCAGTTACTAGATTCTTAGAAATCTTTCCAGAATCTTTTTTTTCAAATGGAAGCAAATACAAAGCACATGTATTGTTTTACCCCTTTTTATATAGAAGTTTACAGAAGTCCATTTTTATTTAGACTCATTTGTTGTTCTTTTTTTGTGACTTCTGGGTTATGTATCATGCTTAGAAATTGTTTCTATTTTGAGAATGTGAAAATAGCCAAGATTTGTTCTGATACGGCTTTATTTTTTTTTTAACATTCAAAGTTTGAATTCCATCTGGAAAATATTTTATTGTAGAGATTAAGTAATGAAATAGCGTTCATGGAAATTCTTTCCATATGGCCCATTGTCTCATTTCAAGTATCAATTTGCAACAATTTGAAATGCCATCTCTAGTAATGCTAGTAATGCTCAATTCCCGGTTCTTTTTCTGGACTCTTTTCTCTTCCATCAATCTATTTGCTTATTCCTGTGCCAAAACAACAGTTTTAATCAACTTTCGTTTTATATACTATATTTGATATTTGGTATATATCTGTTTTATTTTCAAAATATTTTTAGATATTTTCCAACATTTTCTGTTTAAGATATTTTTTTTTTCCTCCAAATGAGTTTTGGAATCAGTTTGCTCTTCTAGTACCCCCCCCCCCATTGGGAGAATTTTTATTGGAATTCTTGTGTACTCATAGATCATTTTGGGATGTTTCTTCATGTCTTCTGTGTCCTTTGATTTTTTTCTTTCAAATTTTTATTTAAATTACAGTTCATTAACATACAGTGTAATGTTAGTTTCAGATGTAGAATTTAGTGATTGATCACTTACACACAACACCTGGTGCTCATCACAGACGTGGCCTCTGTAATGCCCACCACCTATTTAACCCATCCCCCTGCCCACCTCCCCTCTAGTAACCCTAAGTTTGTCCTCTGTAGTTAGGAGTATTATTTCCTGGTTTGCCTCTCTTGCCCCCCCCCCCCCCATGATTTTATTTTGTAAAAATGTTTGTTAGGTTTATTCTTGACTATCGTCATTTTATTGCTGTCATGATTAGGATCTTTTAGAGTTATATTTCTAATTGATTCTTGCTATGGTATAGAAAAGTTATTGGTATAGAAAACATGTAGGTTTTTGTTGATTGCCGTACTGAGCTCTTTTGTTCATTCTCCCATAGACTGCTTTGGATTTTCTTTCTTTCTTTCTTTCTTTCTTTCTTTCTTTCTTTCTTTCTTTGAGAGAGAGGGCACAAGTGATTGAGGGGCAGAGACAGAGAGAGAGAATCCCATGAGGAGCAGAGAGAGACAGGGGGGCTGGAAGAGAGAGAGAGACAGAGAGAGAAGCATGACTCACCCGAAGCCGGGCTCGTTTTTTTACCCGAGGTGGGGCTTGTGTTCACCTGAAGCGGAGCTCGAGTCATCTGATGCGGGACTCGAACTCATGAACTGGGAGATCATGACCTGAGCCGAAGTCAGATGCTTAACCAACTGAGCCACCCAAGCGTCCTCTTTGGATTTTCTAAGTAGACAATCACATTATTTGTGAATAGAGCAAACTCACTCCTTCTCCAAAATAAAAACTTCTCTCTTTTTTTTTTCTTAAATTATTTTGGCTAGAACCCCCAAAAGAATGTCAAATAGAAGGTAATGGTAGGCATCTTTCTGATTCTTATCAGGACGACTCCTGAAATGATACTGGAGGAAACACTCCCCTTAAATGCTGCTTTCTCTTGGTTTTCTGGGATAGTGCCCGTTCCTTCTCTGTCCCCATGTCTCCACCTTGAGCCATCAAATAATGGCATGTGTCAGGTGTCCCACGCTGTCTTCACACAGTGTGCACTCTCTTGGAGATCCACATGTCTCAGATTGCAGCCATCTCATGCGGGCTTGTGATTTGTGTTACCTTGCATAAGCTGAGCGTTCAGAGATTGACATCTACCCAGGACTCTGTCCCCAGCTCTGGACTCACCGAAGAGCTCTTCTTGGATTTCTCTCAGCCACTGCTAACTCAATGCCTCTAAAACGGAGTTCATTACCAGCAAGTGTTGAGCTGGACCCCTGGCTATAAAGCCCACAACCTGATTTGGTGTTAAGAACCAGGCATAGAGGAAAGTCTGCCTGCCCTGAGAGACCCTCTCAGAGGGTCTTATTTCCTGCTGATGCAGGCCCAAAGCCAGCCCACCCCACCCTGGCCCTACCTTAGTAGTCCTACCTGGATATTGGCTGCACAGCCGGCCTCCTGTGCCAGGAGCTCCTGCCATCCTCGGACAGGAGAACCACATCCTGCACTGCCAGCACCGTCTGCTCCCTCACCTGCAGTCCCTATGCAACTAGTGGTCAGCGGCCCTAGATGTTTCTGGTCATCACCCTCTCCCACCTGTGGGGGGCCTCGACTGCCTTGTGAAGGGCAAATGGAGGTTTTAAGGGTTCTTCTGGGGCTCACTCCCATCTGGAGGCAGGGTCATGAGGAGGCTAATCTCTGCTTGCCTCTGCACGGGCAGGAAATATGAGCTGTACAGCATGGACTGGGACCTGAAGGACGAACTCAGGGATTGCCTGGTAGCTGCTGCGCCCTACGGGGGCCCCATTGGTATGTCACCCGTCTGCCACTGCCTGCTCCGGGACAATAGGGTGGACTCAAGGTCCATGATTCTCGGGGGCCTTGCTGTCGGGTGGTTCTTGCTGATGTGTGCCACTCCGATTCCCCCCCACCTCTCACCCCCTACTGAGATGCTTTAAATTGTGGTTCTCCTGAAGCCTGCTTCATATGGGGTGGGCCTGGGGACCTGGGCAGAAAATCTCTTCGTAAACGACAGCACTGTTGAGGAACCCGTGGCGGAAGGAGAAGGCTGCCAGCGTACGGCCAGTGCTTGAGATCTATTCTGCTTCCGGCCTGCCTCTGGCCAGTCTGCTGGTGAGCATGCCTGACCCACCTTGGGGCTTGGCTGGGTCCGTGCCCCAAGGACAGCCTCAGGAACTTCCCTCTCCTCTGCAGTGGAAGAGTGGGCCCGTGGTGTCCCTAGGCTGGTCAGCTGAAGAGGAGCTGCTCTGCGTGCAGGAGGATGGTGGAGTTCTGGTATACGGGCTTCACGGTGACTTCCGGAGACACTTCAGCATGGGCAATGTAGGGGCCACAGGGGGCTGGGGAAAGGGATGCAGTCCGTGACTCTGTGGCCCCCTCAACCCTCGGCCCCTCTCCCCAGGAGGTGCTCCAGAACCGGATTCTGGACGCCCGGATCTTCCATACTGAGTTTGGTTCAGGCGTGGCCATCCTCACCGGGGCCCACCGCTTTATTCTCAGTGCCAATGTCAGTGACCTCAAACTCCGCCGGATGCCAGAGGTGCCAGGTGAGCCCTGACATCCCCGAGACAGCCATTCAGTGCCCACAGATGTGCCTCCAGACTGCGGGGCCAACAGAGGCGGAGGCTGTGGGCTCTGGTCATCCTGAAGCCGTCCTCTTCCCCGGCCACAGGTCTGCAGGGTGCACCTACGTGCTGGACCGCCCTCTGCCAGGACCGAGTTGCACACATTCTTCTGGCTGTGGGGCCTGATCTTTACCTCCTGGACCAGTCCGCCTGCTCCGCAGTGGTGAGGGCCCCGGGTTGGAGTGAAATGGAAGGGGTGAGGGAGGCAGTGGGGAAGCTCGGAGAAATCAACATCTGGTGTCCCCCCCGGCCTGCCCCAGACACCTTTTGGCCTGGCGCCAGGAGTGAGCAGCTTCCTGCAGATGGCCGTCTCCTTCACCTACCGACACTTGGCACTCTTCACGGACACAGGCTACATCTGGATGGGGACAGCATCACTCAAGGTGTGATCCTGGGATGACACGGGGCACCGTGCCTTGTCCAGGAGCGATCTGTTAGGGGCAGGGGTGGGGCTTTTTAACCAGACTGGTAACTACTGAGACAAGGCCATGGTGTTCCCTGTGCCCTTTCAGGAGAAGCTGTGTGAGTTCAACTGTAACATCCGGGCCCCCCCGAAGCAGATGGTCTGGTGAGGATGGGGGTGTTATGCTGGGGGTGGGCACAGCCTCGTTTCCTGAAACACCTGGATTCATCCTGTCCACTGGCCATGCCAGGTGGAGCTTGCATCTTGTCTTCTCTGCCACTGCATACTTGAGGGAAACCCCTGCCCCCGCTGTGGGCCCCAGATGCCCCTGGGAGCTGACAGCACAGGGGGAGAGGGAAGCAGATGTCAATCAGAGAACAGGATAAGGGGTAGCACGTATGTGCAGGGCTCTACCAAGGCAAAGTGGTGTAAGCAGTGATGTGGGAGAATGGGAGATGTGGCTGTACTGGCTGGCGGTGTCCTGTGTGTCCCAGATGTGCATGATGCTGCCCACAGGTGTAGCCGCCCTCGCAGCAAAGAGAGGGCCGTTGTGGTGGCCTGGGAGAGGCGGCTAATGGTGGTGGGTGATGCGCCTGAGAGCATCCAGTATCCTTGGAGGACTGCCTGGGGACGGGGGTGGGAGGGAAGGAGAGGGAGGTTCACCTGCCTCGCCCCATTTCTGGATGCTCTTGGGAACCTTGACCAAGCTCAGGTTTGTGCTGGACGAAGACTCCTATTTGGTTCCTGAGCTGGATGGGGTCCGCATCTTCTCTCGTAGCACCCACGAGTTCCTACATGAGGTTCCAGGTGAGGCCCTCACAAGGGCACCATGTGACCCAGGGCAGGATCAGGTCATCGAGTGCTGAGGATTCCCTGCCCCACTAACCCGCACCATCTCCCTCCCCTAGTGGCCAGCGAGGAGATCTTCAAAATTGCCTCGATGGCCCCTGGAGCGCTGTTGTTGGAGGCCCAGAAAGAGTATGAGGTAAAGCCCTGGGCTTCTCCCTGGGCCCCAGGATGTTCTCCTTTCCCTTCTTAATTGGCTCAGCCCTGTGCCCCTGGCTGGGCATGGTGGACTCAGCCAGGTGCCACTTGTCAAGAGAAGAGTCCGGGCTGGACACTGGGCTGGAGAGAGTCAGCTCAGGTGCACTGAAGTGTCCTCCGTGTGGTGATGGGGAGGCGTAGGGAGCCCTTACTCACCTCAGCCCAGGCACAAGTCAGGGTTACTATCCGGGCCCCTCGCTGGCAGTTGTGGGCTGATATGGGGGGGAGGTATGGGCACCTCAGGTGGACTGCGGGCTGAAGGGGTTTGGGCTTTGGCCTCTGCAGCCCCTCCAAACCAGCCCATGTGAGGCACAGTCCAGGGGACGGGGGACCAGACATGGGGTATTCTCTGTCATGGCACTCCATCCCTGGTACCCTTCCCCCACCCCCCAGAAAGAAAGCCAGAAGGCAGATGAGTACCTACGGGAGATCCAGGAGCTGGGGCAGCTGACCCAGGCCGTGCAGCAGTGCATCGAGGCCGCGGGACATGAGCACCGGCCAGACATGCAGAAGAGCCTGCTCAGGGTTGGCCTGCACAGCGGGGCTGCTGGGGGGCTGGTGCTGGGCAGGGGGTGTGCTGGCAGGAGGGGTGTGTGTGGTGGGGGGGTAAGATCTCTTGACCTCTGGCTCTTCTCAGGCGGCCTCCTTTGGGAAGTGTTTCCTCGACAGATTTCCACCTGACAGCTTCGTGCGCATGTGTCAGGACCTGCGTGTGCTCAATGCCATTCGGGATTATCACATCGGGATCCCCCTCACTTATAGCCAGTATCCTCAGGCCAGCTACAAGGATGTTTACAGCCAGTGGTGGTAGGCGAAGGGGAGGGACTGAAGATGCTTCCTGAAAGTCCTTGGCAAATAGGGCTTATCCCCCAGCTGGATCCTTAACCAAGTAATTTACAGATATAAGCAGCTCACCATCCAGGTGCTGCTGGACAGGTACAGCAAACCCCAGGGTTCTGGGAGGAGGGCTGTACGTGGGCAGGCGTCACAGCCCCTGCTGGGTTCTTGTGGTCACTGTTCCTCACCCGTTTCTCTGGGATCTGGGAGGCCTGAGTTACAGGCTAGGGTCAGGCTGCCCTCTCTATCCCACCTCACTCTTGTATTCTTTACCCCCTTGCCTGCCAGGCTTGTGTTGCGGAGGCTTTACCCCCTGGCGATCCAGATTTGTGAGTACCTGCGCCTTCCTGAAGTGCAGGGCGTCAGCAGGATCCTGGCCCACTGGGCCTGCTACAAGGTGAGGATATAGGGTGGGGTTCAAGGGCATTTAGGGGATTCCAGGCCCTGGTGAGGTATAGGAAATATGAAGTGTAGAGCTGAAGGGGTAGATCGTGATAGAGGGCAAGTGGAGGTGTAGGATGAAGGGTGAGATCTAGGTGTGTGTGA